TTAAACTCAATTAAGCTTGAATAGAGTTACCGACTACTACTACTGCATACATATGTATAAGTGAGCGAAAAAGCTAAAGCATTTTTGATAACACTAACAAGTAACAATTTTCCAATTATATAAAGATCAAATCGACTTTTAAAAGTTATCATGGTTTCATGATGCGCGAATTTTTCCATACCAAATACCAAATTAAAAAACTGAAAGGTACTGTTTAATATCCAATCAAGGGCCAAAGTTAACAAAGGACGATTTTGGCAAGTCTGGAATCGGGGTTAAACTAAATTAATTAAATTATGTTAGACATACCTAGTCCAGATTCCTTATATATATGTAATATATTATATATAATGCATATAGCGTATGTATGTATATTTGAACTTAATTTTACCACTTTCAAAAAATTTATATCAGATACCTACTTCCAAAGGTTTTTGAAAACAAAGTGAATACGATATTAGCCTACTGCCATCATGTGATGGTTGAAAACTTGGGAAGCTCCATTTGAGTGCTTATTCTAAAAAGGTAGTTATATACTAGAGCTTCAGTACTGGGGATCGCAGCCTTATGATAAAATTTCTTTTACGAATTTAGGCATACCAAAGCTTTGTAGTCTACCGACTATCTAACGGTGCGAATTTACGTAACAGTTACTTGCAAAATTGTACGTGGTAATTATTAAAGCTATATTTCCCTACATAGATAGATAAATAGATTGAAAGTTGAGGAATGCACTGCTACCAGTGGTCTATTATGCCTTCTTCTGTTATCACAACACTTCGTTTAACCGAATAAAATCAAAGAAAAGCGCATCCCAATGGAATAACCCCAGGGTTAGTTATTGTAATGGGTTATCTCACCGGATTGTACTACTATACTATTGTTGATTTGATTTTAACGGACGAGATTGCCTGACATGCCGCTTGACTATCATTGAGAATGACAATTCGTTCCCCGTGAGAGATTTGCTCTGGAATAATCTCTGCCCATCAGCCATTGACATAAACCCCAGCTTAAAAAATGTTTGGAAACCAGCGAATGGACACTGACAGTTTGGTACGTGGTACAAGTACTCGTACAGTACTCTAATATGCACTTATACAATTTGAATTTTTATTGTAAATTTTTGGAATAAGTTGTTCTTCAACTGAAAGTTGGGGAGTTTTATTAAAAGTTATTCTGTCAAATTTAGTAGAAAAGGTCACATCAGTAGTGTTGTAATTCCTTTTTTCGTTTCTCGGATTCTAAAAAAATATTTTAATACTCGGAAGCAAAATGTATGAACATCTTTAAATTGTCTTTATTCTCCTAAATCTGGCAACTCCATACCATACTTTCCAACACCAGCATAGCGGTCAAACTTAAACTCGCTTTAACTTTGCAATTATCGCCTACTAGGCAGCAGACTAAATTAATTGTTTCATTTTATAGCCACGCTCTGCTGTTGTTGTAGGCCCAACAATAACAATCGTTATAGCCATTATTTTAGTTGTGCCCGTTGTTTGCACTTAAAGTAGACTTTAAACTATGTCTCTAGTATGATTATATCTAATTGTAATCGTTTGCGTTTCTTGAGTGCCTTTGGACGGGTTTTACAATATGTAACTGCAACCTGACCTGCTTTGCTTCTGGCTGAGAATTTCGGCTGAAAAGCATTCACTCTGCGGCTAAATGCATATACATATGTATTTAGGTATGTGTGTGGCTGAAGAAATCTAATCACACGAATGGTAAGTATCAGTGTGAACAACCGGCGGTGCAAACAATCAGTCGACAGCTGACAGCAGCGACGCCCCGTCGACACAGCAAGAAGTCACCAACCTATATTACAAATCCAAGCGAAATCACAAATTCAAATGTAAATGCATGCGAATATAAACCGCGCTTGTTTTTGCATGAATTAACACGTTTTTATTAGTAAAAACAAAATAATAAAAAAGAGAAAATGTTATGTTGTTGTGTTCAACAGACTCAACATTTTTACTGCGGAAAATTGCTACACCTTCGGAGAATTTTCTCTTCACACTTTCGAAATGTGCGACCCAGAAGTTATTTTTCCCGACAAGCACGCAGATAATTCAATCATAAGTATTTTTGGCATTTTATTAAGTTAATTTCGGGTTTCACAATTATTTTTTCTAAGTAATTCAGTAAATTAGCGAATTCCGGCAGTGTGCTTACACACGTTACATACGACGCAAAGATTAATCGGCATTAAGAGACACAATTGTTAAAATTAGTTTAATCTCTTGGAGACTCCAATCATGCGCGTTTAGATCAGCTGGATTCACTTAAACTAAAAATTGTTCCCATGACGGTCAGGTCAATATCTCCGGAACGGACCTTGATTTATATATGACCAAAGATTGCCATCTAGCATTCTCGAGAATTATTAAGGGAATATTTTTCATCGCTATAACAACATAAACTCAATACCGAAAGGAATGGAAACTATTTTGCAATTATTTTAATTAATTTTTTTTTGCTTAGAATTTTAATAATATAAAACAATACGTTTGAATTAGGATTACAATAATACACATGGGACTCTTCGCGAGAATATCCTAGTCAATCTTGGCTCGCCACAAATTACACCTGGTCATTAAGCTTCTTCATCTTATTAGATTATTTCGTTTCCTCAAAAAAAATTATGTGCCGGTGATTCACGGTGTGATCTGTCTAACCTATTATAGTGTTAGGAGTAGTCAGAATCAAAAAATCTATTAAAATATCCATTAAAGTATAATATCTTAGAAATATTCTGTGAAAATTTGATTAGTAAATGCGACACATACTTTTCGATAATTAGCAAAACGAGCCCTCTGGCATGCTTGTGTAAAACTTCAAATGCGTTTTTCTCAAACTATGTTTTTTAAACTACAGTGGTAGCTCGGAAATTGCTAGGTAGATTTCTATGAAATTTATTTAGTTATTTGAAAACATAAAAACTAGGGTATATTAAGTTTTCCACGATGTTTTTAACATTCAGAAGGAAACGTCGAAAATTCTACATAATATACACTTATGGGCAAAATAATAGGTGTACACAGTTTATATTTAATAGCTTTGAAGAATTTGCATTTAAAAATATTCATTCCGAATTTTAAAACTGAATTATTTTTCAAAATAAGCAATATCATTGGTCAATTTAATAGGTGTAAAGGTGCCAATCTCCTCTTAAGGTCACTTTACAAGTTTTCAATCGGGTTGAGATGAGGGGATTGACTACAGGCCACATTTGCATCCCTAATAACTCCATCTCAGTGGCATATTTTCTTCAGCGTATTATAGCAACATGTTTTGAAAAATGTCTCTGTTGTCAATGGCAGTTATTGTGTTTTTTATCCAAAATAACGGACCAACGCTTTGCCAGGATAAACATCCCCACACCGCCTCCATGCTTAATTGTCTTTTCGGTGTATCTACAATCAAATTCTTTGCCTTTAGGGCGGCGGAAAGTTTTTTATAATAATTTCCATAAAAATTAATCTTAACTTCGTCACTGAATCAAAAAAACCTTTCTAAGAAGAGGAATTTTTCTGGCATTATGAGCTAACATTTACTCCAATACCTACATTAATATGAAAAATACTTCGAAATAACACTTATTTTCTAAAGCATATTACTTACACTTATTTTATTATTATTACAAAATAGTAATTCAATTTGTTGATATATATGCACTACTCTTTCGCCTTCATCGTAAAAATGTAACGGTATCAAACATAAGTAACAGTTACAACACCATTTAGCTAAAAAACAGTACCAGCTAAACGCACACCTATTATTATCCATAAGTGTATATATACAGTTTTTGAGATATCGACCTGAAACGTCGCACACGTTCTTTTCACCCCAAGAATCTTATAATTTCCCGAAACCCCCGATATCAGACCACAATAGCATATAGCTGCCATATAAACTGACCGATCAAAATCAAAATTAAAGTGGCTTTTATACCCTTTTATGTTACAAAAGATATACCTATGAAGAGTATTACAGTTTCGGTTCAGCCGTTTTTTCTTGATTTTTTTTTAATTTCAATTTCTTACAAACAATTAACTGTTGGTATTTTCCCGAAAATCTGGATAAAATTTTCCTGAGGATGCCATTTTGTTATTTACAAAAATGTTCGATCATGCACAAGATTATCTATTCATAAAACTATTTTTTTTTGTCTGATTGATTTTAGATGAATCTCCAAACATTAGTGGTGTTCACCGCAAGCAGCTGCGGTTGGAACTGGACAACAAAAACTGAGATTTTTTTTATTTCTATCAAGCCAAGTCGAAACCTTATATAATGATGCCATTTTTTACTTTTATAAAATAAAATAACTTACAGGCCAAAAAAACTATTTAAAATTTTAATTTTTTATGTCTCTGACTACACCTAACCCCGTAATTGTCTATTTGTCTTCACTCCAAGCGATGTCGACGGTTTTTCGATAATATATTTTATGTAATTTGCAATTTATGTAGAAATTTATTAAATTTATTGAAATTATCGGACACTTCTTCTCTGGCAGCTTCAATCAGTTTATGCATCTCTCGGTATCCAATGTTGAACAAAACTTGGCAACAAACGACGAATGGTGTTGTCAGTTGGTGGCTCTTGGCCACGATATATTTATATATAAATATGTATGATTTGACTTAGTATTAGATCTATTCATACATATATGACCTAATCCTACACTAGGGCAAAGATTTAAAGAAAAATTAATAATTCGCAACACAAACGTTATGCTCAACTATTTACATATGTATAGATAAATATACCCTGAAATCACTTCTAAATTAAGTCATACTTGAAATTTCACTGTCGCAAGTTATCATACACTTCGCCCACTCAGAATTATAATACTTCGTGTAAAAGGCAACTGCCTCAATATTACAGGGCTGATCTCACCTCTCAGGCAAAGATCACATTTTAGGCATAAACCACTTAATTACTATTTCCATGAACCTCAAGGTGACACAGAAAAAAACGAAAAGTAATTTAATTTTCAGTATACTCGTTATTATTGAATTGTTGAGCAATTTTCATTCGTTTTTGCATGGAAGTAAATACATAGACTTTTATGGTTGCATGTGTGTGTACAAAAATATGAATTTAGTTGAATAGGCATTTCCTTCAAGTACCGCTCAATTATTTGCGGTCATTAAATTTTAATTTTGATTTACTAATATTTTAAATTAGGATTTCGGATTTTTGTATTGTTGATATTTTTATATTTATTTGGTTCTTCAACGCAATCATTTTGAATTCGAAATATTCACTAGTGATTTTCAGTCCTTTTTTATTCAAATATGTTTTGTTTAAAGCAGATGTTCATCAATCAAGCGACAGTTATGTTTGTTATATTAATTATTTATCGGTGTTTTAGTAAATTTCGTTGTAGAAATGTCCGATTTACACGGAGCCACCCAGAGAAGTGAGTATTTCCGGTTTGCCGCAGCAACTTCTTATCGTAAATTAGCAAAAAAATATATATATCTACTAATAATATTTGGAAAAAAATCATAGATCGCAACGACTCTCGCTCCTGTCACCTCGTTAGCCTTGCGCCGGAGCCCGGCTTGCCCACGCAGTACAAAATTCACTGACTAATTCAGCACTGAGTAATGCGCCCTGCTCAACGCCACGGAATTTTGATTGGCGATCGTGAACGCCTCTGTGTTGGCACAAGCACACGCTGTTGTTGATGTTGTTGCTGCTGCTGCTGTTGCGTTCGGCAGTTTATACCACCGCCAGTTGCGCGCAAAGCTTGTGGTTGTTGCAGCCGACTCGTAGACGTTGCATAGCTGCTGGTGCCGGCGAAACCGCCGATAGTTGAATGAACTGGCGTGCGACCCATGGAAAATGTAGTCGTCGAAATGTTTTTACTGTTGTTACTATTGGCAGTATGCAGGGCCGCGTCACCAAAGTAAGTATGCTTAGGCTGCGACAGCATCCGTTGATCCATGGCGGACTTAGTTGACAATTCTGGCGTGTTTTTCAGGAGCTCATAGCTGCTGAGCGTTCCCGTTTGTAAGGGTGTGGCAAGTGAATGGCGTGTACCGGGCGTATTGAGACGCTTCTGTAAGGTGGGCGAACCACCAGCTCCACCCAGTTGTATGCGCGTAGATAGACGGCTCCGACTCACCGGTGACCGCTGCTGAGTTTGTGTAGGCGCCGCTTTAGCATTGGCCTCATTGCGTATTTGCACCAATGTTTGGTAACGGCCAGCTATTGTTGTGCCGATTTTGGCGGCCGTTGGATAGCGTACCGGCGTGACGGTGATCGGCTTACCCCAGTTATGTGGGGACTTATCACGTCCACCCACTTTATTCTGCTTAATTGGCTGTACAGCGTTGGTGGTGACCGCCGCATTGCTGCGCGCCGTTGAGTTTTGATAATTTTCCTGCATATTGTGCGGCGAAAGCATGGGCTTCGCCACGCCCACTGGCACTATACGCGAAGGCATATTCGGCGCTATTGAATTCTTAATTTCAATGCGTATCGATGGCACCTCTGGCTTCGGTATGCCCTTGTGACGTTCTTGACTACTTTTAGTCGCATCGAATGTCGGTCGTTCCATACGAAATGTCTCGTTACGTTTAACTGGTGAACGACTGGTGGAGCGCGGTGTGCGCTCTTTGCTATCACGCACCGGTGAACGAGAATTTGGGCGGTAATTTTCATTCTCGAAAACAAGAAAGTCGGGGCGATTCTCTTTGGATTCACAAGGACCGAGCGTTTCGGATTTAGGTGGTTCAACCTCTACAAACCAGGCGGGATTATGTGGTGGGTTGTGTTGATTCAACAGAAATTTTTCACGAAAAGACTTTCGAAAACTGTTCAGCGTCACTGTCTTATATTTATCCGCGGCCGACTCCTGCTCAGCCGTAAATTCCTCATCTTCATGCAAATCCGGCTTGGTCTGTGTTTTCAGCTGCGACAGTTGTTCCTTTAATTGTGTTGGTATTTTTCCCTTGCGATAGGTGGATGAGTCGAAAGGCTGATTGTGTGTGCTTGAGTTTGAGCTTTGGGTTGAGTGCATGGAACCACTACTACTGCCCTGTTGCATTCCTTTCAAACTGGAATGTTGCTCGTATAGGAAATTAAACGGATCCGATTGTGAATCATAATCCAATGTATGAGCCGAAGTCGGACCATCAGCTTTCCATTTGTAGTAAGTGTTGGTGGCATTATCACTCGGGTGATGTTCTAAGGAATCTGCTTTCTCCGGCGTTGGCGTCTTTTTGCGTTTAGTAAAAGTGGCAAATTTACTTAGAACTTTCGATTTTTTCGACTTCTTCTCCAACGTTGAGTTATTCGACGAATTCTGTTTGCTTTCCTTATCCTCCTGGTCAGAGTTCAGTATAAAAGTGTCGCTTCGATTGAGCAGAGAATCAGTGCGCGAATCAACCGATTCACGACGCGCTGAATATGAGCCAAGGGTGTGCAACGTTGTGTTGCTAATCACGCTGCCGGGGCGTGAGTTCGTATTCACAGGTGTGGTGTCGCGAGACGTACTCTTACTACGCGTTTTCGCGCGGAAGTTTCGGAAGAACGACATTCGCAAGCGCGTTTAACGATTTTGTCGAGAATTGAATAAGCGCGGTGACGACTCTAATATTTAATAAACTAGCAGACTAGTTCGCCTATTACTTAAGAGTATTCAGTGCACAATTTATTTAACGTTAATTATAGCAATTATTGCTAATTTATCGCAATTCGAACCACACGACTGTAAACTGCTGCTGCTCCTATTTTGAATGCTGCCACGATACGGAATGTTGGGGATGTGTTGTTTTAAACTTCGTTTTCGTTGATTTTCTGTTTTATCATAGATTTTTTCTTTGTCGCCGATTCGTTGCACTTTTCCACCACCTCTCAGCAGTTGAGATAAGTTGCGTTGAGCGTTGCGCTGCTTCGACTCGCCTTGAATTAATAGCAAATTTCAATCGTGCGATGTTACACGTTCAAACACCGTTCCGGTCTTAACACGTCCGCTGCGCCCAAGCAACTGAGCCAAGTCTCGATGTAGCAACTTGGCAATAATTGTTTTGTATTTCGTAGCTAATGCTGAAACTTGTTTGCTTCGAGAGTGGAGAACCGAAATCCGTCAGCGCGAAATCAAAATAAAAAATTCGAACTCCGCTCAAACGCTAAGTGGCGCTCGCGGCAAGAGGAGCGCTCCGCTGCAGCGACTGATGTTGTTGTTGTTGCGGTGGCTGCTGCTAAATATTATTTATTAGTAGCTCTGTTGTTGTTGCTTTCTGATCTGTATAGTAGTCATTCGTGATCGGTTGTTGGTGTGTCGTTACTCACCGCCGTTATCGTCAACCGCGTTCGCTGTCTAAGCCACAATGCCGGCGCCGGTTCAGACAATTTTGACCATTTTCGTGGCGCGAACCTAATGATGACGTTGAAACGGCGGTAATGTTGTATTTAAATGTACTTTTTCAGTTTTTGCGTTGCAATTATTGTTGTTGCTGGCTCGGTAGAAACTAGATTAGCTCTTGCGGAGGCGTTTGATAGTCGGTGTCGTGGTCTCGCGAGAATAATTCGAATTACGATTTTTTTCCCTTAGTTTTTGTTCCGTTTTTATTCATGCTTGCTTTTATTTGTAAATTTCTATTATTTTTCACGAAAACAGCTCATTTCGTGAGTACTTTTTTTTTTTGACATAGACAACATTGCATGCTTTACTTAGAAGCTCGTTCAGCTGCTCAGTAAACAGAGTGGAGCACTACCAAATACGTATGTACATATATAGTACATGCGATACATACCATATTTGCTGTAGCTTTTTACAATAGTCTAATAATTCTTGCAAAAGTTGTAGAGTAGCACCTCCAAAATTTGGAGTGAAATTGGATATATCCGCCTACACCCATTTCCAACTTTTCTCAAGGATACATGAAGTGTCAACTCGATATATAACGGTTATGTTAAAATTACTAAAATTCCAATAACTCAGTAAATAAATATGTTGGAAGTATTGAATTTGACATTGAAGATAGTACGAAAGAGCTTTATAGGAGCCGCATCAAAATTTTTATTGGGCCGCCTACCTATAGCTGAAATCCTATATCTCAGGAACTATTGTACTTGACCAATTTCAATCAAATATTGTGCGTAATATTATTGTGACATTCTTATGTTTTTCAGTGAAAATAGGCGAAATCAAACAATAAACACTCTGACTTACCATATAATACAATTATATATTTTATATGATTCCTTCACTTTACAGAATATAAGTCAAGCACCAATGAAATAGTGCTTCTATGGTATCTATCTCACGTTCAAAAATATTTGAAATTGGATCACAACTTTTGAAGTCCCCAGATATCAGACCTCAATAGTCAGAACTGATTTTTCACCGTAAATATCTGTCAAACTTTAAGTTATGTTATGGAAATTCAAAAAAAATAGGACCTGATTAATGTGCCCTTGTTTCGAAAATGGACAAAATAGGGTCAATACCATATTTAGTCCCCATATCCTATACATATATATAATATAATCAAAAATAAATAAAATCGGGTCAATACTATATCTAGCACCCACATCCTAATATACGAATTTCAAACTTCCGGATGTCTTAGCAAAATTAAGTGAATGTATAATATTGGATATTGTACATCTTAATTACGAAAATAGGTAAAATGGATAAAATACGTGATCCACAAATCATAAAATTACATGAAAAGATGTTCTGAGTAATGGCAAGAGTTAGTGCAATTAATCCGGATTTTCCCCTAGCCATAATATATGTTTTATAGTGATTTTTATATACTTCCATATGACTTCAAAGCATTTGAGTTGTTTAAAATGAGTAATATTTTAATGAATTTGAGTGAATTTAGTCATAATATGGCTTAGCGCTGAATATGAGTGAAATTTCCTGAACCTTTTATCCCTAATATAATATTATATAATGACTTCCGATTATTTGTTTTGTTTTTTTTTCTTATCCCCAATTGCGAGAGTATAAAATTTTCGTACACCCAAACTTAGTCCTTTTTTACTTTTTTTATACCCTGAGTTGATTTAGTCATGTCCGTTCGTTAGTCCGTCTGTCCATCTGTTTGTACATACGAACTAGTGCCTCAGTTTTTGAGCTATCGTTCTGAAAATGTGCACCTATCTTATCTCACTAACATGCTGCGCATTTTTCGAGACGGCCGATATCGGACCACTATAGCATATAGTTGTCATACAAACTAAACGATCGGAATAAAGTGCTTGCATGGAAAAGATTTTTATTTGACGAAATAAGGCGAGTTATTGTTTAAGGCAACAATGTGTTCTCCGAAGAAATTGTTCAGATCAGATCACTATATCACATAGGTGCCATACAAAATGTACAATCAGAATCAAGTACTTGTAAAGAACCTTTTGTATTTGTGAAGGTTCAACCGAAAGTAACGTTTTTTTGTTTATTTTGGTTTTATTACATAGTCCGTACTTTCCTTTATTTTCAAGTTCTAGTAATAAATGTGTAAACACACCTCTCGCAAAGACAAATATTATATTTCCGATCAAAGAATTCTTGAAAGAACTTAATAAAAGAAGTAAGAATAAGAATGATAAGATTTGATGTGCAAAATATATACAATTCTGTCAAATAGTTTATGTAGCTAAATTCAAAACACTAGAGCTTATATGCAACGAAGCCACCATTTAGACGTCTTATTCGATTTCAACAAGTTTTTGATATCATTCGGTGTAATGTAAAAAAATACATACAAAAACACAAATATTATTTTTAACGAGCGCTGCCACCTGTTTCAATTTCACTTAAATTGGTAAAACAATATGGGTACCAAACTAAACAGGTCTAAGGAGGCATACAGTTGCAAATATTTGTGAGTATGATCTAAAGAGTGTTAACGAAGTTAACAAATGGAAATATATTGCTCCCCATTTCCATATACGATACCAAAATAGTAATACATAGTAGTTTCTACACATTTTGAATATACTAGTTATTATCGGCAAATGAAATTTTCAAAGCTGAAGAATACAAATCTTTACTTTAAGTTTTTAAACCGTTGCAAATCCCGAAGGTAAAAACCGAAATTTAACCGAAATTTTAGTAGAACCACTTTCTAAGTATATGTATGTACGTACGTGTGGTACATATGCTGATTACTAAATAAGTACATAATAAATATTTGTCTTAATTCGAGTGTCGCTTCGCATTTTAAAAAACTCGATGGCCATCAACGTCATTAGCTTTAAACCAACTTCAACAATTCTTACCATTTTTAGTAGCCGATCAGTCCGTCATTGCTTGCTCTTGGGCATAAAGCACAATATTGGCGGTCACCTAAGCTCTATAGAGTCAGTTCAGCGAGCACCTTTCTTGGCGAGAACGACATTCAAAGCAACATTTCCAGCGGTGCGTGCGGTTACTCTAATTTCAGCACATATTGTGTGTACATATTTACACGTGAGTGTGTATGCGAGTGTGTATCAGAGAGTTTAGATTATATAACTGTTTTATACTCTTGCAACATGTTGCTACAGAGTATAATAGCTTTGTTCACCTGACGGTTGTTTGTATCACCTAAAACTATTCGAGATAAATATAGGTTTATATATTATATATACATATATATATATATATATATATATATATATCAGGATAACTGTCCGTGCAAGCTGGTAAGTATAAGATATCGTGATGGAACTTGGTACACTTGGTTTTTTGGTAAAAAAAAGGACAAGTTCATATATGGGCGTAATTGGACCACTGCCACGCACACAAAACTCCATTAATCGATAACTTATAAAGTGCCATAACTAAGCTGCAAGTTAGGACAAAAAACTATAATTTGGTACACACAATACGACAGTGTAAACACAGGTGAAATCGGATGATAACCGCGCCGACTCCCCATATAACGGTTTTGTTAAAAGCTACTAAAAGTGCGATTAATCAATAACAAAATGCATCAAATACATTAAATTTTACACCCAGGACGGCACAAGTGGGCTTTATAGGAGACGGTGTCAAAGTAAAAAGGTGGGCGTGTCATCACCCACATTTAGGCGAAACCCCATATCTCAGAACGTACACAACAGATATCAACCATATTTGGTAAATAATATTACCCTAACATTCCTATGTTACAGTGCGAAAATGGGCTAAATCGAATAACCATGACTACTTCCCATGCAACACAACTTTCCATCTGATTTTTTCACTTTTCAGTATATAAATCAAGCACCAATTAATATATCGTGATAAGACCTTGCACGAATAGAGCCTTTTAGGTATGCCACCTCAGGTCTAAAAATAGTCAAAATCGGACCAAAACTATTCAAGTCCGCAGGTACCAAATATGCTGATACCAGAAATTCGGAGAGATTACTTTTCTGATAATGTCAAATTTCTGTATTTCCTAATAGAAAATTTTTGAACTTTCGGCGGAATTTATTCCGAAAATATCGGTCAATTTAATGAAATTGAAATCGCTTATCTTAATGAAATTGAAAGAGCATGTTTTTCTAATAACTGTGAATTTTTGTGCATAAAATCAATAAAATCGGGTAGAAACTCAGAGATCATCTTTTTTCTGGTAATAATATATGGTAATGGCAAAAATAGATAATATCGGTTCAATACTACCCCTCTCTCTCATATACCTAATATAAGATTTGCAAACGTCTGATATTATGTGATAAATAATTTAATTTAAATAATTTAAAAGGACAAGCTTTCATAAAAAATATGTGATTTAGCGCTGAACACGGATAGAATTGGTTTAGACCTTGGTCCGAACTACATAAATTTAATATAATTAATTCCATTCTTCTGGTTGACGTTTTGCACATTAGCTCAATATATTAAATATAACCTTTTCTTTGGGTTTATGTCACATATATCTGTTTTCAAGATGATTTTAATGTAGTTTTTGCTTACGGGAAGTCAAATATACATAGTTATAAAAATAATAATATAAGTTAATAAGATATAAATTTGAATGTAAACCATTCAGTCGAACAATGAATGTTGAATTCTTTCGCAATATTTTTTGAAATAAAACTTTGCCAACAACTGAAAGTACAATATTTTACCCGGATTTGATCCTTGCCAGTTGCAAAAGTATGAAATGTTCGGTTACCCCCGAACTTAGCCCTTCCTTACTTGTTTTTTATTAATTCTTTACATATAAATTTTATATCCGGCCACTCTTTTATGTGTATGTGTGTGTATGCTATACACGCTATTACTCTTTTTCTCACCACTTGTTGAGTTTTACGCTATGCTGCGTTTGCCTAAGTGTTAACTATTGTTTATTTGTGCTAAATACTTCCGCAAATGCATGCAACAATCTAATCGTCAGCGCCCCAAGCCACCGTCGCATCGATGTCAAACACACACTCCTACACACACACTTACACATACATATGTACATATATACACATGTCTGTCATAAATAAAGAGTGTATCTCAAATTGTTCGGCACCGTTATTAAAAATACTTTATTCGAGTTTCTAAACTCGTGTCGAATTTGTTCGAAATTAAAAGCGTTAACGTTTATTCTTAACTGTAGTGCTGATATATTGTACTATATGTTTTCATACCCTGAATAGGGTATATTAAATTTGCCATGAAGTTTGTAACACCCAAAAAGAAACGTCGTAGTACCTCAGTTTATGAGATAGTGATCCGAAACTTTGCATACACTCTTTACTCC